GGCAGGATAAATATTGTCTCCTTGGGAACAGGATTGCGCTTACGAACATAAAAGGAATAACCAGCAGATCCGAAATAATGCAGAGCAGTAAGGACGTCTGCGACATCTTTGTCTAGGCGATTGTTTAAACTACTTACAAACGAGCTCAGATACATATCACGCACGTATTTGATGCGTTTAGTGCTAACCGAAGCGTTGCGGTACACCAAGAGCAGAAAAGTAACGTTAAAGCTTGGGTGCTCGCAGTCGTTAGAATCGAAACATACAAAATGTATAAAGCTCCCGTTGAGCGTTCGTCGCCGTGTTGACAGCAGATCGCTCGCGAGAGTCTTGTGTTTAGCGACATTCCTTTCGAATTCGCTAGTCAAGAAAACACTGCCGTTGTAGAAATCTATTACGTATCTACCGCTGGCTCTCCGATGAAACGGCAGATATGGAACCTTTGAGGCCCCTGAATAAAAATCCGGAAAATGACTCGCGTTTTTCGCAATGACAAAAGCAGTCATGAAGTAATCTGTCTTTATGATACGCCATAGGTGAACTGATTCGCATTTCCCGCATATGAAGAAAATCATACGAAAAAGCACCTGCCTAAACTTATTACACGGCTTCCCATTGCAAGCGTCCCGGTGTTTCTTGTCGTCAGTCCACAATGTTACCGTTTCTTTTCGGGACTTGAGGAAATCGGTGAACTCCGAAGAGTTGTCCTTCAGACAGTCTGGGGGCACGAAAACGTTCAAGAACTTGTTCCCAGGATCGAAGGTGAGGAGAACGTCGTTGAGGATGTCTATCAATCTACTAAAGACACTCGCTGGGCCGTCATACTGGATAGTTTGAAAGGTTGTGGGTGCTGCCAGGAGCACAGCGAAGATGACCCTTTCTGGAAACGAGAACATGTCTGAATGTCAGGGAGAGCTATATGGTAATGAAGGATCGTCTTAGCTTTTCTCACTGCTAAGAGCACAGCGGTGTGGGGGTCGCATAAATTTTCGACCGTATATTTCATGGTGGAGGGCTAGCGCTATTGTCAATAAAAAAATGCGAATTCATCGCGATTGCGTGGGCCTTCACCGGATACACTAAGTGCTCCGACTTCACGCGAAGCCACTCAAACACATTTTTCTGGTCGCTGCAAACGCATGGCCAAAGTGTAGCAACGGACGCCTAATGGACCTGCCAATCGTACGCGGAGCGACCTACCACGAAAATGCATTCATGAAAAATCACTGTATTGTGCTATGCGGATCGAAAAGCTCCGACGCAGACGCAGCTTCCTTGTTCGAAATTAAATCTATTTGTCCCGTCGCAAATTATACCGATGGTAAAACTAAAACGTACCAGACAAAAATAAGATACGTGGTGCTTTTCAGTTAGCTTTGTAGGAAGTAGTACACGTGTACACGATCACCCAGATAACCAATCGATACTAAAACATGTGTTTCCGTTGAGAGCACATGCTACTGGTATCGAGTTGTTTCCGATATCCGGGCATGTAGATTCTAACATCGACCCTATCCGTATATCTAGGTCTGACGGAAGGAGCGCGTGACCAGTTAGCCAATCCTATCCAATCCTAATTTATTCAGATATCAGAAACCTCTCTTTCTGATATCTAAGATCACAAACATCTGTTTTTGATATCTGAAATCATTTTGGCCTTTTGATACTACATGAATAAATTAATCACGAACCAATGATCGATTATCGGACGAGAGTCCATCATCGGTCATTTGATGGTCTATCCATTGACCAATGATGGTCGATGATGTCAATGGATGGTCTATTTATGGACCGATTATCGGTCGGTGAATAATTTATTCATCTTTCATTGAAAATCAAAATATTGTCAGATATCAAAAACAGATGTTTCTTTAGTCGCCAATATCTTTGACGTCATATCACGTGACATTGACGAATTTCACTATTCCCTCGAAACTAATTTCACCCCTTGTCCCTTGGCTGGCGTCGAACCAGCGACCCCTCATTCCGCGGTACGACGCGGTACCTCTCCGCCAGACTTCTACGTAGTTCAACTACTCTACTCAAATTAATGTAGTTTAACCGCTTTTCTGAGTAGTTTAGTAACTTTCAATTACATTTTTATTTCGGTGATTAGTAGTTTACTTTAATCACTCTTTGTTAGTAACTTCTATTCAAGTCACAAATTACTTTGGACTTTTAGTGGTTGTCTTGCCTACTAACAAACATTCCTGCGAAAACGAGACAAGATGTTGGAAAATAGATAATATTTGCAAAGAGGGGGAAGCATGTGGCGTAAGAGGGGAGAGAGAAAATGGTTTGGAGAGTTTGAAACCCCCAAAAAGTTTCTCAAACCTCCCCCCCGACAGCACTGCTACGAGGCGCGGGGAGCGAACAGACACGACGCAAGAGAGGCCGAGTAACTGCGGGATTAGCGCCGAAGACTGGCGTTTCTTTGTTGTCCGAAGCTCAAAGAGACTTGACGTATTTAGAGCGAGGGTTTGTCCCCGCCTCCCCCCAACGTAGGAACTCTTGCCCACTGCAAGAGGTGCACACACTTTATCCTCACTCAAAGGAGGCATCAAAATGGAGCACCTGCTCTGAAACTCATCTGCTGCTTCCGTAGTTTGTGCTGTACTCGAAGAATCGCGTGCTAAAAGGCGACGCAAAGATTAACTTTTTGCGTTGCCTTTCCTTCCAAAACTCAGAATGTGCAGACCTTCAAAGATTCAAAGATCGTTCGAGAAACCTGTAGTAATTCCCCCCGGTTTTATATAAAAATAATAAACAAGCAGTGTTGGGAAGTACTCTATGTACATCGTACTTAAAGTACTACTGTTTAGAAAAATTGCACTTTACTTGAAGTAAAATCTCTTAACATGTACTTGTATTTTCCGAGGGAAGTAAAACTCCCGACTTCACTGTACATTCCTCCAATTTGAAAACAAAAATGGCGGTATTGTATCGTCGTGTGAAAACGCTCTCTTTCGATACGTCGTCTGGCCTTTGTTCAGAGAAAAACGTGAAGTGAGAAAGGGCTTAGGGTTCACGTTTCCATGAACTGCGTTACGTTTTTCTGTGGCAATCTTTACTCGGAGAAGACAGCTAATGTCCATGCGAGCAGGCGATAGTTAATCATGATCTGCAAACGCGAGAGTGAGGCGAGAAGTTTGGATACTTTGAGGTCGCAAAGAAAAACTACAGAACAACACGTTTCTCATGCAGCTAACTCGTTTTTAGCTCTCCAAAGAGTTTCATGGAATATGGCTTTGTTCTTTTTTGTTTTGTTTTTCTGTGTGTCCGGTGATTGCAAAGGATATGTCGGCAGAATGTTTGTTTTGGATGTACGGCATTTCGCCGTACAGGTGTATTTTTTAGACTTCCCAGAGATCTGCGCACTCAACCAATAAAATGACGTAAAGCGTTCGATCCGAGAAAACAAGGCGTGCACAAGCACTCTCATGACAGGCGCTCTAGTGCCGCGGCGCTCTCCTGTCGCGCGCTCTCCCGTCGGCGCTTTCGTGTCGTGCGCTCTCGTGGCGCCATTCCCTGGAGGACCTCTCATCTGCTCCTCTTCCTCAGCTTCTCAGTGTATAATCTCAATCTGTTCAAATAACAAGAACAAAAACTAACTTTCCCAAGTATCGGAGGATGCAGGTCGACGACCTCGCTTTGCACGCGCAGAACTTTCGGATGTTTGAACCGCGAGAGGGTTGCGCAGCGGGCCTGGATTGCGACGAAGTCGTCTAGTGCTCCTAGGCGATTACCGCGTTTTATTGCTATGGTATCGTTATCTGTCTACGCAACGAAATAAGCAAAAACAATTACTTTCCAGACGCGTATGACAAGTTTAGGCGTTTGAAGGATGATGGCGTTATGGGAAAGCAACGGAACGCTGTATACATGCTCGTGCAAATAACATAGGCTGCTCGATTCATGAAAAGGTTTTTAATTTAAAAATGGTGACAAAACTGCGCTCTATATTAATGTGCACGCTTTATGTTCATTGAAGGAATATAAAGTTTCCCAATATATAGGTCCTATTAGATTAGCAATTTATAGGCGGATGTGGCCGGTTTCCATATGCACTCCCACGACCCTTGAGAGCATTCACACAGAGAAGAAATCCCTCCTTTCGAACGATGCATTTCCTGGGAACCTGTCTGCTCCTCTTCTTCCGCTTCACCGGCGAGTCCAACCTCCACTTGTCCTTTTGTACAGCCTCCTGGATTTGTCGGTTGCACCCATCGCCAACGCCTCTGGCAACGAGAGGACCAGCAAACCTAATGTGAAGAACACGGCCGCGTTGACGAGCATGTAGATCAGCCTGTCCATTGGAGGATCCAGAAGTCGCAGGGCGCTGAAACGCGACGCAGAGATGCTGTTTAGGCGCCCGGACAGGAAAGCGCCGCACACGCTAGCGCTGCGCACCGCTGTCGGATAGAGTTCGACGGTGAACACAAACATTGTTGGGAACGCCACGTCCACCAGGAAGGCGATCGGCACCGCGACTTTCGCGAACGCCAGCTCCATCCTCAGAGCCACCAATACCGCCAGTGACGTAATCAGCACCGAGAACCCCAGCATGTATCGACATCGGCTTCCGGCGGCCGTAGCCCCTCAGGACAAAGTAGTGGACGGTCTGAGTGAACATGATTGCGATACCGATCATAATGTAGAAGTTGACGGCACCGCCTCCGAACGATGAAAATGACACACCAACCACCGAAAACGATGAGCGACTAGGAACGCAACAGGGGCGAGCTAACAATGTTGAAGATGGTGGGCCAGGCGGTGAACCCGTCACGCGAGACGGCGCTCTCCTTGACCCTGAAATACGCTGAGCGTACATTAAACAGGACCTTGAGTCCGTTCTTCCTAGCCGCCCAGAAGATAACCGCTCGGCATCCTTGAACTTCCACGAAGTGGTCAGCCAGCGCGAAGACTCGTCCGTCAGGTGGTAGGTCGGCAGCAGCAGTAGAGGGGCGATATCACAACAAGCTGCATGGCCGACCAGTGCATCAAGGTCGTGACTTAGGGCCGAGCACCACCGTACCCAGCCCCAGGGGCACGCAGATGTTAAGCATGCAGAAGAGCATCTGGCGATCTTGCGGAGCCACCTCGAAGAGCAGCACGGTGCTGATAGCCTGGGGGAATACGGGCACCGTGTCGGAAGTTCTTCAACGTTCCTGAGGTACGGCACTTCGATGCTCTCAACATACCAATAGGCCATTCCGAAAATACGCAGCGCCTATCATCGTCTTTTCGAAGTACTATATGGCAATTCGATGTACGAAGCGTGACGGAGAACAACCGAATAGGATTTTAAAACGAAAAAAAAAAGCCAAGAAAAAAACAAGACGATAACAAATTAGGGTACGTTTCGGCTTTTCGATCTGTTTTTTACGTCTTTTTTCATCTCGCAGTGGTAAGCTAGAGGAATAAAACTCCTTCCAGGACGTACAAAACGCTCGAACCGGCTCGAACATACATCGGAAGTGTTCCACAATTCCCCGCGCGATGCAATATGGGAACGACGAGAGGCGTTGCGGGAGTTTTCGGGAAGGTACCTTCTGAGTCATCCTTGAACCCGTTCAGCCAGTGATAAGGACGAGCGTGTCACATGCCCCAGTGGTAAACCTGACTTGCACTGCTGCGCGTGTACCTCGTGCACCACATATTTCGCACAACCGAATTTGTTTTTCTCGGCAAGAACAAGGAATGACTATTAGTAAGGTTCGATGACATCAAGTGCGAGACATGGATACAGTTTGAGCCTGCGCTACGGTCGCCTTCTCATGCCATTTTACAGGTGAGAAAGATCGAGAAAACCTTCATAATATTTATGTTCTGACGCTGAACACTAGTGAGAAGTAATTCTTGTCGTTTTTAGTTTTAGTTAAAGGGATTGTCCGGTCGAAACCGGAAGTACTTAAGTTTTTGCGCTCCTTACGTCGAGGGAGCCTTCATGTGGACAGACAACATTTTTATTTTGATATATGATATGCCGTTATTAACTAAACCTTTCATGAGCGTATGTACGAAACTGCACCCCGAATTTCGCCAGAGTCAATGGCTGACATCCGTAGGTGCTGCGTGACGTCACAAAACGCAAAGGTTTGTCGGATGGTCGGGATAACAAGCGTTGGTCGATGGATGTCTTGTATTTTGTTTCGAATTATATAGCCTCTTAGGCAAATGGTTCTCAAATGGGGGTCCGCGAAGGCCTTCTAGGGGTCCGCGAAGCCCTGCCTCTTCAGTCAAGCCCGGCAATAGACCGATGTCACCAAGCGAACTGCGCAGGCGTGCGCATTCCGGAAGTGGTGCCGCCGCCATGCTACTTGTAGTCATCCCTTCCCAGCTTCCCGGCTACATATGGCTGCGCGTACGTACATCATCATAGATTATCATTTGGCACGCCCGGTATCACCTTGATTCTCTTGCATGTTTTTACTTCATAAGATTGTGTTGTTTGTGATGCCTTACTTTCCTCAGCAAGTGCAGAAAAGCAGTTTCAGTCCTCTTATCGCTTTAGAATCGCTTTGTCGTCTGCTTCGTCGCCGTCTGCTTCTTCGTCTTCGTGAACACGTAAGCCCACTGCCGTTCACGGGGTAATCCCACTGCGGCCGCGGAAAAAACAAAATAAAAAAACAACGGCGCCACTACTCGAGCATTCCGACTCCTCGGACGTCTCGATTACCTTGCGAACAAGTGAAACTCTAGTGCAATAGCAAAGAACAAGAAAATTCGAGTAACCATCGGCTCGGTGTAGCACCACGGAACAGCATCAAATGTGATGAAAAACTGAGCTTGGTGGTGCTCAGTCTTGTGCATAACGTTTAATCAGCCATCAAGTAAGAGGAGCTAAATAGACTTTCTCGGTCAGCGATAGTTTTCTAAAAGTTGTTTCATTCTGGTTGACAGCCTGTGCGACAGAGTACAGATGAACAGCGGGAGAAGCCTGCACACAAAGGACTGATCTACAGAAAGGCCATGCCTGACGCGCCGTAATAATTGGCATCAATCAAAAAGAAGCAACCATGCCAAATACCTGAAAGCTTGGGGTGGAAATGATTTTTCGTGCAGTTTCTATTCAGTTTTATTTCGTTTGCGCAAAATCCGAACGCTAACAGTCGCGCCGACAGGGAAAGCTTTTTTCTGCGGTTTCGACTGGTGCTAGTGCAGAATGGATCAGTAACACCAGCCTAATAGACCATCACAAAATGGATGATGTTCGTTTGTTACATTTTTGGCGGTAAGTACGTGTTGCACTTCTAAATCGCATTATGTAATCTTTTCGCGTTGGTATGACAAAAAAAAATGAAGGCTGCTTCCGAAAAAAAGTTGTTTTATATCAAGTGGTGCATATCGGGAATCGCTGCTCTTTTTTAGTGATTGTCCTGATCTTTTCAAGCACAGTTGTGCTTGAAACATGTCGTCGCAATAGCAGTTATAACCACCAAAATACACCGAGTAAGAAGTGTATTAAAAACGGCCTCCGCAAAGCAGTGCGCAGGTCCTATTTGAGATAGACCAACGAATAGGCCGCTACGGAGCGAATGGTATGAGAGATTCCAGCTTACGGAACACTTCGGCACGCTGTATGTCTCGTGCCCTGTAATCTTACATATTTTAGCTGACGTGCAATAATTGAACAAATTAGAAAGCAAATCGCGAAACAAATCGTAAAACGCTATTTTTCCTGCAGCTCTGTCCGGTTCTGTCGACCTTTCTTTGCCATGCTTCTTTCTTGCGCGAAGACATAATATCCGAGGCCTTTTTGCCTGGTGCTGCTATTATAGATCGGTAGCATACAACATGGGAAGCCACCGATTGAAAAAAATGAGTCAACACCTGGCTAAGAGTCTCGTGCTAACCCGAATATTTACAAACGCCGGGCGTACAATGCGCGCCGATGCGGCCGGAAAACTGGGGAGAACTACAGGTACCAGAATGCACCGCAGTAGCGCTGGCGTCGCGCAGCTCCTCGTGAGATCGGTCTATTAAAGTTGTCTTTGTTTAGGTCGAAAAGAAATGTTTCAGTTTTCGGGCGAGTTTGTTCGTGTGAACGTCAATAAGAGAGGTCTACTTCACACTAGCCCTTAGTTATATCCATTTATTAATTAAATGATTATTATATTTGACCTATACCTTTTCTCTCCTCTCACCTCCATCATCTCCGCCGATCCACGAGGGGTCCGCGAAGCATCGATGGCTGAGAAAAACTGTCCTAGGCTGTACTCTACTGAAATAAGGTTCTTTTATTGCAGTTCCCAAGCATGTGCAAAAAAGTCACGTCTTTTAGCGGGATATTACTCGAAAACAGTCATAATGTTTTGAGCGGACGTATGCCATTTCGCGCAAACACAACTGCGACGGCCACCGATCGAATCAGGAGCGCTTGCAAAGCAAAGGATGCAGATTTCGCCTCTGAAGCGGCAACTACACGAAGCGATATCTGGGTACACGTATCGGCGGAGGAACTGGATCGATGATGAGACTGTGGGTCTTTCCCTCAGAGGCGATGACCGCGGGTCGAAGGCAACCGGTGAATCGTTCAAATGCATGTCGTCACTTGACTTGTACGTGCTCAATGAATCGTAGCCACGCTCTTATTGCACATGCGGGTCAAACAAAATTTGGCTGCACGCGTGCTAAATACAACTTCTGGTGTTGTTTCCAGGTGGTCTAGCTGTTGGTTTCGGTTTCGCTGCATAAAGAAATTGATTGATCCGATCTGGGCAAGGGGTGGATGGACGTAGTTCAATATCGTTGGCACAGCATCACACCTCAGCTTACGAGCCTTCTGCCCGCTGAACACAGCTCGTAGCTCTCTTCTGTGAGATGATTGCTGCATAAGCGGGATCTCGACCTTGATGGAAACAAAGTCCCTACGCACGGCGACGATCCATTTTGCTCGTCACTGCACGTCTCACGGAAAAGTGTGGAACGTCACGTCTTGGCTCGCATGTGCTGCCCGGTGGCTGTGGCACCCAACCGCGCAGCAAAAATCTCACCCAACCACGAAACAAGTCGAGCACAACAACAAAAACTAAGCACGCCGAGGCGTTCACTTGCAGGTAAACGACGAGACAGAAATGCTCGCGTTGTGTTGTGTGACGTCAGCGCTCCAATGTTGCCACTGAAAACAGCGTTTACGCTAGAGTGCGATTGGAGCAGTATAAATTCAATTACTCATGCAGAGGTGCATATAAAATTCAGATATTGCACGTGCGATGCGTCTCGAGGCAAGGACAACGATATTCAATTGTTTTCTCGAATACCAAATTTCACCGAACAATCCCTTTAACTCGCATTGAACGTATTGCGTCAATGGTTCAACTTTTCTGTTTTTAAGAACTAACTGGCGAAGGCAAACTTTTTATTAAATCCAGACATGACAGGAAACAACTACAACAATTATGTGACTGAATAATTCCGTCGAATAATTGTGGTAGTTGTTCCTTGTCATGTCAGGATGAAAAGAAACTGAAAACAAATTTGTCTTCGGGCGTTCGTTCTGGAAAACAAAAAAAGTCATACAATTGACGTTTTCGGCGTCTCTAAACCACTTTCAACTCTTACATCGTCTTCTGAGTCACGTGCTCAGTGACGTATTTCCGGGTGCACTGAGCGCAAGAACCCTTGGGTTCTTTTCCATAGCCTACAGCGCGCGCGTCCTCTGCTTGCGATTCACGTGGTAACCTTGAAGGTTGGTCTGAGCGGTGTGGAGAGGGGCAAAACGAGGGGAGGGAAGGAGGCGAAAAGCTTTCTTTTTCGGAAGGAAGTCCGACTGGCATAGTAGGCAGGGGACGAATAGGCAAAGGAAAAGTCAACAGGAATAGAAATGCTCAGGGAGGAATAGGTTTTGTTTTTCACCTCAGGGGTAGATTGCGCCACTAAAACTAAATATTGTACAGCTGTGTCGATGATATAAAGTTATTGACTTATTTACACACGTTGAAAGAATATTTATAAAATATAGTATTTGATTGAGCACATAATGGCGCATCTTGCTAACTTATTACATTGCACTCGGGTTTGCGTCATGCCTTATTTGCCATTGCCGCCACCCCACGGCTGCAAATCGCGAAATATTCCCGTTATTTGCTTTGATATTACGCTTCGTAATATGGATACAGTAGACTCTCACTAATTAAAACTCCAGGAAGCCACAAATTTTGTTTCATTTATCAGAAATTCATTTAAATAATATACAAACTACTATTATAATTTTCCGTACGAATGGCTTCACATACGGAACAGATCGCTGATGATTTCCTCTACATGGGCCTACTGATCATGAGCAGGTATGCCAGACATAAAACAATCGTGAAATGCTTGACATAAGTTTATTTATTCCTCAAAAATGCTGTTTATAGTGGTTAGTTTAGACAGCGCATGACGACTGAAAACGAAATTTCGGTTTGTTCATTGGGCCAATATGTTGTCGAATGTGGACTATTAAGCCGGGGACACATGAGTGATGGAAATGGGCACCGAGTGGCAGTTTTCAGAGAAACTTTCGCTTATGCCGTAACGTGGACCTATTCCGTGCTGCCAGGCAACAGCGTCCGCGCAAGTTGCTATGTGAATTTCTGCGTGGTGCCCGTTTTCTTAACTCATGTGTGCACTGCTTGAGCCCGGTGAGTGCGCTTCTTACTGAGCAGCAGTGTGCTGTGAAGAAGTAACACACCCTGAAATAAGGCTCGTTCACACTGCCCCGTTTTCTTACGTTACGTTACAAAAAGTCACCGGGAAATCTGTGCTCCGTATTAAGCGTGGCCACCAATTCAAGGAGATAGCCTGGCACGCGACATTCGAGACACAAATGTTTCGGTGGCTTAGACGTAACGTAAGAAATCGCTGCTGTGTGAAAAGTAGAACCGAGCTCAACTTCTTACGTTAGGTTACGACGAGCCTTGTGTCCTTGGTTGCCAGGGTAACTCATCATCCCAGCTCGTCGTCACCGAAACATTCGTGTCTCGACTGTCGCGTGCCAGGCTATCTTCTTCAATTGGTAGCCAAGCTTCGTACGAAGCACAGATTTTCCGGTGACTTTTCCTAACGTAAAGTAACGCAACGTTAGAAAACGGTGCTGTGTGAACCAGCCTATACGCGTTGTGGGCGTTGTCTGTCTGCAGTGCAACCTTGCTCGGAAATAAGAGCACCCAACGGGGCCGCGGGTATAGAAAGTATGAATTAAACGAAAACACCGTTTCAACTAAGCGCTGATGAATTCATTAAAAACATAGCGGGACAAACCAAATTTTAAAATTTGTTTAAATTAACCGGATGTACGAAATAGCCAAGTTTGAATTATCGTGAGACAACTGTATTTCAAAGATTGAGGTGGGTTTTCCGCGCCATTTTTGGAAGATAAAGCTTGTAAAAAATTAAAAACTGCAAACTCTTTCGGGGTCAAAATTATTGCAAGGCCCCTTTAACCGCACAATAATATGTCGAAACAAAACAACTCGCGAATTTTTCGGAAGCGCCTTGTAATAATAGTTTCGGGGACCGCGGCATTAGAAACCTGTCGGTCATTTTGCTACCTTGTGTTTATATACGAATATTGAGCAAAGACATATTAGTTAGACGGTGTTGTGTGGTGTGTGCCACGCCCTGGCATAGCGTAACTTTCAGTGCGTTCTCGTCTTCCTTTTGTGTGTAAATTCAGTTGCCAGTCTGCGCTTGCGTGTCGTGCATGTTTCTTTCCTTTGTCCTTGTGATCAAATTCAAACGATCTGAGCCAAAATACTGGGAAGCGATATATCTTTGTCTTTTTGTGCGCTGTACTGTTCACCTGCCTTCATCGATTGAAATAAAAAAACACGTTATAAGAATATTATCTAAAAACGGAACCGAGCACCCCGTCACCAACCTGAAACGTGGTGATCGATCCAGACGTCAGAAGCTGCAGCACCGGAAATTCGAAGAGTGTATTCACCAGGGATGTGACCACCCCAGACAAGGCCAGGCCGAACAGGGTTAGGCCGAGTACTGCGCTGCGCCCACAGTTGTCGGCCGCTGAGCCCATGACGGGCAGGAGCACCGATCCGCTGTGTAAGTACACGAGCCGGAGCGCCCGGAGCAGCCACTTCCTGTCGCAGACGAGGCTGAAATCCTTCACGACGGTGGTGCCAACCTCGCTGTCATAGTTCCAGCGGTCGCAGCTGACCTCGGTCTTGTTGTCCGCGGGCGTTGGCATCGGCGGTTCGTAGTGGGTGCAGCTGCTGAATCGTCCGTCCACGTCCTTGAAGATGCTCGTGTTCTTCCACTCGCCCGTGGACAAGCCGGCGTACTCGTCGGGGGGCTTGCACCAATGGGCCACAGGACGCGACATGACGAGGAGCGTCTGGCTGTGAACTGCATTCATAAAGAACGAGACGATAGAGCAGAGCAGCGCCATCCTCTGGAACTGGCCATAGCCGTAGACGTGGATGTCCTCTTCAGTGGAAGGAACTCTTGGCGACTCGCTGCGGATTTTGGCCAACTCGGTGTTTCGGTTGGCGAGCTTGTTGGCCTTCAGGCTCGCCATTCTTTTGAAAGGGGAACTTCGGCGACTTTAACGCAACCGTCTTTTTCGCCAAATATCCGTAGATTGCAGCCGATGGAACGTACAGGGAGTATTCACTGGCGGCCATAGCTGTGTGCGCGAATGCTGAGCGCGTGCTGATGGCGCGCTTCCACAGTTCTTTTGCAACGTGCATTCCGCACCATCAAGAGTGCCGGTCTTAGCAGCCTATTGATGTGAGCTTGTTCAGAGCATGCGCTCTAAACAGCACCCACAAATATAGCGTACAGTGAATGCTCGTCGATATAGTTGAGACACGAAGAATGAGCCTTCGCGTGCGCTCGTGCAAACCTCCTCGCATTTCTTTTTATCGACGATGATGATCTTGAGGTATGACGTACACATTCTACTTGCGTTTTTGTTTCCATAATTTAAATGTGTTTATTAGATCACATTCAGTGTATGAAAAAGACACCAACAGTGACCGCAAAACGCATTGACGCCCGCAAGTTTCTAATGTTCTTGAGCCACAAAAGCACTTAAACCAAAAACTTGAACCACAAAAAAAAGCCTACTCTGCAGAATGACACTTCAGATATCCTGGTGTGTAAAATTATTGTTCTAAGTTATTTGAAGCTTTATCTGAAATCTCAGGAAAACGGTTTTGCGTTCCCCATGAAGTCCATTTCGCAACGCGACGCTGCTTTTGCTCGCACGCCTTTCGGATCAATAAAGTCTATTTACTGGACGCCATATTTGTGGGTGCTGTTTAGAGCGCATGCTCAGAATGTGCTCGCATTAATAGGCTGCTAGACCAACAACCTTGACGGTGTGGAGTGCACGTTCCAAAATAACTGTGGAAGTTCGTCATCAGCACGCGCTCAGCAATCGCGCACACAGCTATGGCCGCCAGTGAATACGCCCTATAGCGTGGAGAATTTCGTTTTCTGACTTCCACAATTGAACACGTAAGTGATGACGTCACGACAGGGAACTGTGCATAAGAACATAGGGTAAGGGAAAGGGGGAAGAAAGCTGACGGAATGATTAAAGGGCAACTCTGCTTCATTGTTGATATTTAGAAAACTATGTAGCCCTCTTCAGCATCATATTGGAAGACCCCATGTTACATATTGCGATCTAATTCCGTCCATATATTTAATAAACTGGCCAGCAAACCTTCAAGTGAGCCAAGTCGCCGAAATCTGCCAACTCTGGCGTGCGACGTGAGGCGCAATCGTCAGCGCAGTCAATGCGACGGAGTTGGAGCGGCCAACGTTGAGCCACTACATCAGAGGCATGACTACGTCATTCTCACGTTCTGTTTGTTTTTATTTCTCAGAGCGAGATTGAACGATTACGTCATGAGTTTCTCCTCCCGGTGTCGGCTGAACGGCGTCCACCTGACCACCGTAACGCGGATGCGCTAGTTTGCGCTGCCCTACGCGCTTATCGGTCTGTTTCTTCACTCCCCTTCTACTCTTTCGTCTTCGCCCCTTCCCCCTCTCCCCCGGGGTCATCACCGTCCACGCCATGCGAAGCGACCTGCCAGCGTCGTGTGTCCTGTCCCTCGCCCCCCCCCCCCCCCCCGAACGTCACAAGACCACGTGGTTCGACGTGACGTGGCCATTCCTCTGACGACACGAGACCAATGTTGCCTGACGCAACTGAAGTTTCGGTTTCGGTATGAGCTGATGTTTAAATTAAGATTCCAGAAATATATTTCACATTTTGCGAATCCGAAGACGTAGAGCTGTTTAGTAGTGTTCTGTGAAATGGAATCACATGTAAGCCTAAATTTTTCGGAATTGAGCGGAGCTGCCCTTTAATTAAGAGGAGATAAGAAAAACTCTCCCCTCCAGCATCCCGTCTGCTTTCCCCTCTGCGTCTTTCCTTGCCCTACGTTCTTAGCCTGTAACTATGATCATGATCATGCCATTCATTATTGCAAACAAAGGTAACTGTTCAAGAAATACTTTATTGGAAGGCAAATGCTATACATGATTTCTTTCAATGTCTGCACCAGACGTGCAGGCTGTCTTCGCATCTTGGCCAGCACTAGTCCGAATAGTCAGCGGGATCTAGAAAAAAATCAATTCCATAAGCACTAATAATAAAAACAGGTTATGTGAGAAACTTACCATCCTGTCGAACATCTCCGGCTTTTGACTGCAGCTTTTTTAGTTTCTCTCCAGCGTGGCACAGCTTTGTTTGCACACTCAACATCTGCTATCACTGCCCCTGAAACATTGGTTTGTGATGACAGTCACAGGAGGAAAATATGATGGTCTAGAAAAAAATCAAATTTAATGTCAATATAAATATATGTTCAGGAAAAGGATGTCCCTGAGTGCTAACGCGTAAACATACATGGCTATCTGACCCACACAGCAAACGTTTCACCTATTTAGAAAGAACTATGTTCAGAAAATAGTATCATTCTCCCACTCCCGAGTCAGGTTAGTTTGTCGGTTTTTATGTAAAATCAGTCTTAATTAATTTTACCGTCAGGGCAAGAATATTCAATATAATCTGCATTTGACGTTAGCTCTGAACCCGACAAGCCCCTTGTGGAATATTTTACATAACTAGTTTAGTGAATAACTTAGATAACTCACGCACGACAAACAAAAGTGTCTTACTGTAAATGATGTCTGCCACATTAAGATCCCGGAAATTTCCTTCGCCTTTCTGGCGTACCCAGCTGAAATTGACAGCCACTTTCTGGCTAAGCAGAACCTCCAAGATGTTCCTGGTAGCAGACCCCATGCATCTGCCACCATCACCGGTGAACTGATGCACCTAAAAAGAATATATTGGACCACATGGACGCTCTTATTAAATCAAAGGTTAAAAAATATAACAAGATTGAGAATCCTTCATACCAGAAGCATTCTTTTCCTTTCATCAGAAGATAGACTCTGTGATATACTCCTTCCTCAAATCGTCATCGTCATCTCCTTCATCGTTATTGAGAACCAAATAGCAAATAAACATAAATAAGTAAATAATAATAAATAAATAAATGACAACTAAAATAAATAAAACAAAAAAAGCAAAAAAGAAAATAAAAAAAGTTTTTTTTTTTTTTTTTAAATAAATGATAATTGAAAAATTAAACTTAAAACCATATTGAAAATTCCATCAAGATACGTAATTTGGGACACTGACTGCCAGTCAGCAGCCTTGGTGGAACGTGCTCCGATGGTCCATCAGATGACGTCTGACTGCCACTGCCAAGGGAATTTCATCAACAAGGGCAGCATTTATATAAGTGTAAAGCTATACGCACTCATAAATATCGCCAAATGCCTCGACAAAACAAAATGTTCGAGAAAACAAAATATAAGAAAAAAAAAACAAGAGGTCACCGTGGATCGAACCCGCGTCCACTTGCGTACAAATCGGACACCTTAAAGGGATACTGAAGCGAAACTTGAAATACACCTATTATGGTGAGAAATAGGTTTAATATGATCAATGATATCCGTAAATCATAATCGGGCGTTTGTATTTTGAACGGATGGCTATATTTTTCACTCTGAGGGGCCCGATTGGGCTCGCGCTCAAAAATCAGCCATCGGAGAGCGCGATGCGTCTTGGGATATTGGGCGCATTCGTGACGTCACTTGTGCCAGCCGAGAAAGGCTACGGTGTAGATGTTGTGCTTACGAGCGTTGCCACTTGGCGGCGCGTCGACGATTTACGACCTGTAGAAGAGGCGGATGCGCGCTGCCTTCGCTTCAACAGCAAAAAGTCGGCAGTCGTGCAACTAGCCGGACCTGAAGAGCCGCGTCTTGGTCACTGCGTGCTGAAGGGCGAACGAATCCCCCTGCAAGGCACCTATAAGTACCTGGGTATTCTACTCACAAATAAGCCAGAATACCTAGCGGAACACCATCTCCACCTCAGAAAGACGGCCGTGCGAAACACCAGTGTCCTTCGCAAGCGTAACCTATGGAGCTGCAATCGATTTCTGGTTACAAGGCAACTCTGGAAAGCAGCCATGGTCCCTGGCCTAACGTTTGCTAATGCTGTTGTGTGCATTCCTGGAGACGTGAGGGACATTCTGGGGCGCCGGCAGCGCGAAGTTGGGAGGCAGGCCCTAGGCTGCCATGGCATGGTGGCGAACGAAGCGGTCCAAGGAGATCTTGGATGGTCATCGTTTGAAGCCAGAGAAGCAGCTAGCAAGATCTGCTACGACGGGCGTCTGCGACTCATGGACCGAGGACGGTGGGCCAAACGACTATTTGTGTACATACACTTGACAGGGATACAGACGAAGTGGAGAAAGCGACTGTACCAGCTGGAAAAGAAATATGGCTTCTTTACTGTGCCGGTGGCTGCCACTACAGAGCAAAAGTGGGAACTGGAGGTGCGGAAGAGAGTGCGCGAGGAAGAGGCTGTGCAGTGGTCGGAGGCGGCCCGCTCAAAGTCAACCCTGCAAGTGTACAACCGCTGGAAAAATGAAATATCGACAGAGACAACCCTGTATGATAATAGCCTGGGCAGCCGCCTGCTTTTTGAAGCACGTGCGGGAGGGCTAAGAACGCTAGTGTACCGGCAGCGTTTTGACCAACAGGTACAATCAACATCATGCCGGGCATGTGGCGAAACCGAGGAAACTATCAAGCATATTGTGCTCTCCTGCCCAAGTCTCGTACCAAGACACCCGGTAGATTGGGGCCAGGCGCCAGATAACGGGCTGCATCTAAACGAGGCACAATCACACGAACAATTTCTGGTAGAAGCCCTCGGCTTCCGAGTTGGGGACACAGGCAGGGATGCTGTGTGCTGGCCCAGTGCGGACTTAAATCGCGCTGCAGTGGCACTGCAGCCCAGCTGGAAGTGCAGCGACGCAGTCGAGAGGACTAAAAGGAGGCTGGAGGACTGGTGGCGAAGAATGCAACAGTAGTGCAATTTTTTTTCTCTCCGTTTTTATTCGGCTAGGTCTGATTTCTATTCAAACCGCCCGCTTCAAAGCGAACAGCCATAAAATCATCATCATCATCATCATCACCTGT